ATCAAATGCCTTTCTCACAGATGCAAGGAAATTCTGCAAGGGAGAGGATGACAGCAAAAAGATTCAATATCTTATTACTTTCCTTTCGGTATAATTGTTCTGAATTTCAATTATATTATTCTGTTAAAAACAAAACACTGGACCTCCTTCTGTTCAATCTTAGTAATATAAAAACCAAACATCATAATCAGCATGTCTTAGCTTACCTCTTGCTCCACATACTGCAGCAGGTAGACCCAACCATTGAAGTCATCTGGGTTCTCCTCGCACGCTTTGAAGAGTTTTTCAAACTCACTGGGCTCCTGTGGCTCTGCAGGAACAGTCACTTCTTGTGTTGTCTCTTTGGATGGGTCTTCCAGCTCCATGCCATCCTCCGTCACCTGTGGTGCCTCAGTCCCATCTGGAGAACATAACAAGGAATGGTGAAGTGGCGTTACATGGAGGTGCAAACAGGGCATTGGTCCTAAATGTGTATAATTACTAGTATAAGGCCAAAGGTGGGATTGGGTCACTTTGTGTCAAGGTTGTTTTTTTAAAAATACAGAAAAGGCACTGAATGATCACGTCACCCGTTGTTTTTGCCTGCTTTTATACTAAGATTTGGCTGACAATCAAATATTGCATCTGAGTCAAAAAAACTAAACATATTACATAATTGTGTATCATGAAATCAGCAGCACACTTAAGTTAATGCTATAATTTCATGGTACTACTGTACAACCAGTGATGGGCTATGGGCCACTAATTGTTTTAACCACATCAGTTGAGTGAACTGTTGAAAAATGTTTTCATTTTTCTATTTAGTCATGATCGATTCTAAATCTCAGTTTTCGTTGTTGGATATCTACAGCAGCCATGTAAGTAGACCAGTTTTGCCTAAAATACATAGCAAAAACTTAAAGCCAGCTATTTAGATTACCTTGACTGCCATCTTGTACAGCAAACTCTGGCTCCAGGCTCATCTCATGGCTGTCCTGTTGAGACTCCCCAGACTCTGATTTGTGTTCTGCTGGCTGTTCTGCCTCTTCTGTGGGTTGCGGTGGAGGGGGAGGTGGTGGTGGAGGAGGTGGCTGCTCCTCTTGGAAGAACTGAGCACTGGCGAGCTGAAAATGCTCCACAGCCTTCGCCACAGAACCCAGCTCTGTTGAATGTGTCTGCTGGTTTGGTTGCTGCTGTTGCTCCGGAGCATCCTGGGACGCATCAGAGTCTTCGGGCAAGATGGTGGCGAGTGGTTCTGGAGCAACCTGGTCTGGGGACCAGTCAGTAGCTTGGCCTAGAACAGGAAGGTCAGGAAGAAAGGCATCCCCATTGCTCTCCATGGCAGGGGACTCAGAGTCCAGCATTCCAGTAACGGTGTTGTCCGAGAATTGCAGCCCTGTTGAAAAGAAGGCTGGATTATTACTGGAGCTGCAATGATTAGTCAAGCAACAGAAATAAAATGGGCAACTATTGTGATAACCAATTAATCATTTTTCAAAAATAAAGGAAATATTCTGATTTCAGGTTTGAGAGAGAATTTTATTTGCCATAAATTAAGGAAAATTTAACCTAATTACCAATACAAGTCTAGTAGAATTTAAGGAACTACCTAATTAGTTCCAATACAAATTGGAAACTATTAATAATCAAGTGTTCAATTACTTTGAAATGAGCGCTCATAATAAGCCAAAACGTACTAGTTAGTCTCAATTCCCCATGGACTACATAGATCACCTGTGCACATCCTGTAGATAAAGAACTTTCCAGAACTCATTTGGTTGCATGTTTTACTTTCAAGGCAAAGAATGATTTCACAGCAAGTTCAACAACATCTGCCGTATTTTTTTTGTTGTTGCAATGGCTCATATTGACATTTCCAAACGTTAACTTTAAGTTAACTACCTTTCCACCAAAAACGGTCACCCGAGAGAAAGCAGCAGCCGATGATCTAGGACACTTCCTTGTTGTATCATTAAAGCGGACGGCAGCTTTAGTTTAAAGCCTTGCGTTAGCTACTAAAAATAATGTGTCCACGTGATCAGTTTCTTAGTTAAATAACACTACGCGTGGCTCCATAACTTATTAACAAAAGGTTAACTACCGCCATGTGTTCCGTTAAAATCGATTAATGTTAGCTTTAGCCTCGTTAGCGGTTTGAGATCACGTTGCACACGGGAGATAGTTTGCATAGTCAAAAGTTCAACCAGAAGTTGGGCCTTGGGTCCTGTCTATTTCCTGAGAAGTAATGCATGACAGCACTTAACTGACCAACGGGTGACGATGGCCAAGCATTAGCTCTTGTTTAGTAACGCCGGATGTGAACTCCATTATGGGTATTTAGTTAACTAACGTAACACTTTTCAGTTTACCGGTTCCACACGTTGTGATATCAACAGTTTATCTAACATTGATCGACTACCTTATAAGCTCGCTAACCTTATGCTAACTAGAACAACTAACGTTACAGCGTGCTAAGCGTTTGCCTCCATCTCCAGTTAATAGTCGGCACCGCAGGCTTTTCCGCGTTAGCTAGCTGGCTAACGTTGGCAATTTCACTAGGTAGCACAAGTAGCTAACGTTAGCTGGCTGTTGAACTGCCCCAATCCTAGCCATATTACAACAAACTGAATAAATACAGTTAGCTTTTGGGATCTTACCAGTATCTTCCATGAAATTTTGGACGACCGTACAAACTTGTGCGCAGCTTTCGATGACTTAATCTAAACGACGGCGGCTCAGCGCTCTTCGACCACCATTCTTAACTTGGGGGAAGAGCCTAGACATAGTTTGCGCATGCTCAGTGCATATCCCGCCCGTGTATGCGATATTGCGAAATAATTTCCAATTTTGCCACATTTTTAACTTTATACAAAGCTGCAAGGTCACAAGAATATAGATACACAAAAAATGGATATAAACCCGGTTAACTAAATAATAAAAGTCAAAAGTCATTTAGTCTCAAAGCAGTTAAATGTGGATCCTCTTTTATGTGGATCCTGTTTTAGATAATTTGTAGACTGGAGGGCCTTAAACATCTAAATATATAAGCGTATATCTTTTCTAAGTAGCTCATGAAGATGCCATACTGTATAAAACATAAAAAGACATACGCCTGCACTGGATAGCAGAATGTTGCATTACTCACATGAAAATTGCACTAAGCTGAAATTACAAAGGTGGTGAATTCTTACATTGGTGATGAGTAGTATATTTCTTTCTTCTCAAACCAAGGTGACATTCTTAATATTTTTAGATCACTTATGACTTTATCATAATGGGTCTGTATTTACAGTTGTTTATTGGTTATTACCGATAGATTGATATATCTATTGTCTGGGCTGATATAATGGATATAAATAACAAGCTTGGCAATACAGAAATGCCTAAGATAATATCTACATCTTAAATATTGGTCTCTTCAGGTTTTTACATAATGCTAAAATATGTTATTTTCTATAGCTTTTCCTTCGGTCAATCTTTTCAATACATGTCTTCTTAGAAACTATAGAAACACAGTTTTAAAATGTTATTAAGCGCAACAAAAACATTCTAAGGAACTGTAACATTGTCAAATCCCAAGATTAAAATGAATGAATCAATAGCCTATTTCGTGATTTCAGTAATCGCTGTAATGAAATCCTACCCTTCTACACGACTCACTTAATTCTAGTGTAGCCTATATTATGTTTAGCCCGTTTTATACGCAGGTGTCACGCTGCTTTAGACGATGTGAAACACAGAAGTTGCCCCCGCCCTGCTCACTCACAACCTCCACGTCACAGATTAATCATACGGGAACCGTTTTGAATGAATGGTGAGACATGACGGAAAGACCCTCCTGTAAACCCCTCCTGAGATCATTAGGACTACAAACCCTTTGATCTGTTATATACGTACAGGCCTATGTATAATTCTTGTGACAGATGTGATATAGGAAGCGATTAATTACACAAAGAGTGCTCAAATGGCACAAATGCCAGCTAATCGACCGGTCTGCAATTCAGTTTTTTAGAAGCGCGCATGCGAAATGGCGCATGGTCCCTTTAGGTTCCGTCGGAAATATTACTATTAAGTGTAGTGCATTTGTTTCAAAGGCTCTCAGTGTGTTGTATGTTTACAGTGTTTAATTATTATGAATTTAAAAATGTATACACTTTAAAAAGTAAAAAAAAAAAAGATTAATAATTTACATTTAAATGATGAATTATGAAGTAAATTACATAAATTCATTTGCCAACTAATAATTATTTCTGTTTAAAATGTCTTAAATTATTAATTAGCTGTCATGTGTTGGTGCAAATTAAATTTTTAGGTGGCACACTTTTTAAAGTCTTCAAATAGCAACATAAGAGCAGCAGGAAGTCTTTTTTATGCTGTGGTTTAACATCCCACCTTGCTGCAATGATCTAAAAGTCAGTACACCATGACATCACTGCTGGGCGTGGTCAGAGATGCACCAGACTTGAAACTACCAATCAGGAGGGGCAGTGCAACACTGCATCAAATTAAAGTCCCTTAAAACTTGGCCTTGAACCAGATCTATAACTTTAGATATTCATGATAAATAAAGTTTTAAAACCATATAATTAACACTCAAAAACTCAGCTAATCTGCTTCATCAGGACTGTTTGGACGTGGTTTGATTTGATTTGATTGACAGTGACTAACAACCCATCAACTCTCATCACCATGATATCGGACCAAACGCCAAGCAAGCATTGATTTTGTTCAAACCAGACTTTAATTCAAATATTGCTAAATCCTGATTGGTGCACAGAAGTATGTGACATCACATTTTCCCACCCACTTTAAAGCATAGAAATAAAAAGAAATAGCTCAAATATGAAATAACCCAAATAATATAATAACACAAATAATATGATAAACAGTATAAGAACACAAAGTGTGGAATAAAAAGTTATTTTAAAAAACACTCTAGTCGGATGTTTTTTTGCGTTTTCAGATGTCGGAGCTCATGAGCAGCCCCTGAACGCAGCACTGTGTGTGAGAGCAGTGCAGAGGAAGTGGCGGTTGATCTGGGTCCGCACCTTTTCCGGTAACACAGCACCGCCACCGCTGTGACTGAAAGGCTGGAGAGAGAGGGTGAGGAAGAGAGACAGAGAGCGGCAAGAGCGGGGAGAAACGGCCCGGGGACTGGGGGATGATCGCCGCAGACGTAGGTATTTATCTCGCTCTCCGCGTTCTTTGGTTTTATTTTGGCTTTCTATCGGCCGAGAGAATATTTTTTCGGATCCAAAGTTGTCCTCTGTACTAACACCCCTCCCTTCTCTGGACCGCTCTTGTGTCACAGGGGGAAGAGAAGAAAGTCGGATGAATCAATGACCTTTTGAGCGCTCTTGCTCTTGATGTCCCGGAGCAGAAACGGACCGGAGAGCTCACATTTTGGCGTGTTGTAAGAAGAAAAAACGCCGTGCTTTGAAAATTCATCGACTGGGATTGGCTAAGGGCAAGTGTGGACAGCCGGTAGCCAAGGAGGAAGTGGGAACCCCGGGCTTGGACTGGGCCTGATTTATATAGTAGGCTGTTTTTTTCTGTACCAAGTCCAGCTCCACTGAGAGTAACTGGATTTTTTGAAGGAGAAAAAAAGAAATGTGGATTTTGAAGAAAGTCTGCGCTCATCGGCTAGTTTGAAACAAGGGGATGTCATTTTTTCTTCTTACGTCGGAGGGCACTGGATCATAAAAATATATCCCCACCCAATTCTGCGAGGGCTACACACATATCTCTCCCACTGAATGCTCAGAGTCACCCGCTCAGGTCAGATCACCACAGTCCAGCTAATAGTAGTAGTCTTTTTCTGTACAAACTTGAAAGTCACTGCCTTTCTGAATATTGACACTTGTGTCAGCCCACCGCTGCCATCACGTGGAGGGCTCTCAGCACACACTGAAACTGTGACTTCTCAGTTGTAGTGAAAACAACTTATTTCTCTCAATAGAGAAATCTTGTTTTTTTCTGCTCACAAAGTATTTATGCACAGCAAACAAGATGGGGAAAATGCTGTCAAAGATCTTTGGCAACAAGGAGATGAGAATATTGATGCTTGGACTTGATGCTGCTGGTAAAACTACCATCTTGTACAAGCTGAAGCTGGGACAGTCAGTCACCACCATCCCCACAGTCGGATTCAACGTGGAGACCGTTACCTATAAGAATGTGAAGTTCAACGTCTGGGACGTGGGGGGCCAGGACAAGATCAGACCGCTTTGGAGACATTACTACACTGGCACCCAGGGCCTGATTTTCGTGGTGGACTGTGCCGACAGGGACAGGATCGACGAGGCGAGGCAGGAGCTCCACCGAATCATCAACGACCGGGAGATGAAGGACACCATCATCCTGATCTTCGCCAACAAACAAGACCTCCCAGATGCCATGAAACCCCACGAGATCCAGGAGAAGCTAGGCCTGACCCGGATCAGAGATAGGAATTGGTACGTTCAGCCCTCATGTGCGACAACAGGGGATGGACTATACGAGGGCCTGACCTGGCTTACCTCAAATTACAAATCTTAATGTTTCCTCCCCTTCACCAGCCTGGACACTTGGAGGCAAACAAAAAAAAGTAGCTGAGAATGAAAACAGGAGTAAAAAAAATGCAATCTGAAGCAATTAATACCAGGACCTCTCTGCTGAGTATATATGCAAGAGAGTAGCAATTATATTTTGTTTTCTTTTGATAATGATAACTTCACTATAACCCCAGATTTCATTTAAACAAGAGACTATTGTCTTTTTTGCCTGGCTTTCTTTTTTTCTTTTTCTTTTTGTAGTTTGCTTTGGTTCACCTTCTGTATAATCAAGTACTGTTTAAATATACAATATGCTTACTTATGGGCTCTTGGGACAAATTCTTTGGTTTTCTAACTTTTTCATAATTTCTCTCAGTATTAGTATCATTTCTTTTAGGGGACTTTGATACACACACTCATAGTTTAGCCCCTGCTTGTTCTCTCGGCCCATATTCACATGACCCAGCTACATATCCAAAGGATGGGGAAGTCCAGAAACCATCGCCTACGTCACCATAATTGTAATTTGTATGAATGTGTATTATGGATATGTAAGGACCAAAAAAAAACAAAAAACAACTGTTTTCATAATTGATTGTACTGGGAGGACTGAGGAAAACGTGTGATCCTGTGCAGTGATTACATCCATCACACCTACTGTGGCGGTTTGTTTGAAAGACACCATGTTGGGTGCTGGATATTCACACACACACACACACACACACTGTGATATGGATATATACTTTTGTTGTTTCAGGGTCTGAATCTGTTACCACCAGTCGTATTACTGCCTCTTTTTTTTCCCCAGAGCTTCCATTACTGTTGGGTATTTGTTTCAGCTGCCTTAGGTTACAGGTGCCCCAAAATCAAGACAGTTAGTACGACAGAAGGTCTGCTTAACTGCTGAGTTTGCACTTTCGGGTGGGGAGGGGTGGGTTACCAACTAGCTGGCTTTTGATTTTCTGTGAGTGACTTTTGGACCCTAGCAAGTACTTATTCCCAACCCCCCCACCACCTCCAATGTAGGTGCTTCATTGACTGCAACCCTCCTCTTCTTCTTTTCTTTTTTTACCCATCATCATCTGCCTGTACACTTTAAGGTCCTGCAGACACACACCAACTTTCTGTTCATAGTTCATAGATATTGCTCTGTTTTATTTTTGTTGCCCTTTTTTCTTATTTTGCTTCTATGCTGATGAAATAATAAAAAGAATATATCCAGATCAGTACGGAAATGACGCCTTTTCAATAAGCAGCTGTGATCGAGAGTAACAAAACTAATACTTCACTTCTGAAATAGTTGCACTCATAAAAGAGGAAGTGAGAGTTCAGCGCACACGAATGGTTGAAAGGAGGACTGGTTAGAGCGAGCCGTGAAGTGAAGTGAGCCTCGGCCTGTTTCCTGCATGTGTGAGTCATTTGCTGTGAATAAGTGATGAGATCTCTAGTTCCAGAGTAGTGATTGTCAGGTAGACCATGCCTTGCTGTAGTATCACTTTGTTTATCAGGGACTGCACAAATGGCTTTTGACATTTTCAAACAAAGGAAGCAAGTTAAAGAGGTAATGTGGAGTTGGGCCAAATGTTGAAAAGTGTAAAAGTCAACAAGCCCAAACTTTTAAAGAGGGTACAAAAGTCATTACTATCTTGCAAACATCAAAGTAAAGTGAATTTAACAGCAAATTACACATTTCTTACAAAGTTTATATTGTCATGATAAAAAACTTCCATTCTGGTGAGAATTTGTTCATAAGCAGAGTGAATTTTGGTAAATGAGAACATGAGCAGTGTTCATGCTTGTGTAACTGCTGAGGTTAGGGTGACAGCCTGCACGAAAGGTCTCCGACAGCCTGGCATTTTGCCCTTGTTACGTGAGTCACCATAAGGCACAGACCTGAGATCAGGCCACAATTTCGAAGCCATTCATTTAAAAACAGTCTTGGTTTTTAACCATCTTACTTTATACTGCTGCTCAGTGTTTCATGTGTGTATGAGCCATAAGAAGAAGGCAAACAGCTGTCGAAAGAGGCAGGTGTGAACTGTGGGTTGTGACGTTGCTGTGTGAAGTCAGGAAACACGAGAAAGAAGAAAATAGTTGTCATGGAAATGGGCGGTTTAGGAGCCTGTCGGTGAGCAAAATCAATCAGTAAGTTTCAGGTTGAACTGTAAAGATAAGCACACACAGGTAAAATATGAATTCCAGAGCAGGTTTTGGTCTATTTGTGAACATTGTGTGCTAAGCAGTAGCCAAATAAAACAACAATCAATTTCAATTTTTTTTCAATTTGCTTTATTGGCATGAATGTCAATAGAACAGTATTGCCAAAGCTTCAAAGGAAATACAAAAGAACAATTCAGTCGCTCTCCAATTTCCTGAAAAGATTCCATTTGGAAGGTATTACATTTTATTCCCTAATATGCCACTATAGCAATGTTCAGGGGAGTCACTGTCCAAGAATTCCTGTGCAGGAATGCTTGCTCTCTTGTCTCTGTGTTTGCTCTAGTTGCTCATGTGGTGTTTGTTCTGTGGCTGGTGATTTGAAGTTTGACCTGTTGCTGTGCTGAAAGCAGTACCACGCATGTGACGTGTCCAGCATGAAGGACAGGGACAGGCAGTCAAACAAACGAGATAGACACACAAATGGTACAGCTGATTATCTCTCCTGAAACTGCTATTGCTTTTTCAGTTGAAAAAAATTGGAATTAGAAGCACCACTTTTCTTTTCAATTTTCAACATTTTCAGAGCAGGCTATTGTAATGAAACCACTTTATTTGAACAAGGGCAGTGCCTCTGCAGTGTCAAGTATGATCTTGTTTGCGTATGATTTTCCATTCATGACTGCCATTGTGGATGTGGAAATCAAACTAAAATCTACAAAACGCATTTTCTTTTCTCAGGAGAGGAAATGTGGAAAGGGAGAGCAGTCTGAAACCGCTCCTGATGTTACATCAGTGCTGAACCGGTGAATCATGCTGCACATGTCAGAGGCCTTTTGTACAGCTGTCACTGCCCTCAGCAGCAGATGCACTGCACACACGGGCTGGTGTCAAATGCTGTCAGGCTCACCTGTGGCCCTCCGTTAAAGGACACGATTTAAGAGTTTGTATTGTCGCTCTTTCTTTAGCAGGTAGAGTTTATGACAGTTTGTTGAGAAAACCCTGCCTCAGAGAGCTGCTGTTATAGGGCAGAAGTTGCATACTCTCATCCTGTTCAGGAGTTGTGGTTAGGCTTGTCAAAATGTACACAATTACCCTGAAACCTCATTGATGCAATGAGACGTTCTTTCAGTTCCTCCTCATCGTCACCATCATCAACAGTCACATCAGGACTTTAGATGTGATTTACTTGAAATGTGTTTCCTGCGACTGGTCTCCCAATGAAAGCCACTACGGAAGTGTTGGATTTGAATGAAAGCCTTTAGCAGGCCTGCTCCGTTTTTCTTTCGCGTTCACGTTTAGCCCGGAGTGCTGCCATTGTATGTTGCTGGGTGGGGGTGGACTGGACTATTGTACGCCTCTTTGAAGGGGGTGGTTTCAAACAATACTGTTAATCGGAGCTCATTGGCAGTTCCTCTGCCGTTTGTTTACTTAGGCGTTCCTCTTTGATTTTAATCTCACTTCAGTTCTTCATTCAGCAAACCAGGAAACTGTCACATGCAGACAGCATACATTTCAACTTAAAAGGAGCCCATTGCTCATGAACTCACATTTAATCAAATAGCACCTTTGACATGAGCTTTCTAGAAAATGTTCACCTCTTTGCCTGGTGCTGAACCTGAACCAGATGTTAATGACGTGTGTCATGTCACTGTAAATCTTAGTCTACAATCAGTGCTTGTACTGCATTTAGCAGTACAAGCACTGATTGTGTTTACTTACATGTTAACTACAGCCTGCTTGCAAAAAGACACACACTAACACTCATATATTGAGTTCTGGAGTTGAATAGACTCTCACACCTCAGACTGTCGCTGTCTGTCTCTACCCACAGTTGTTTCCATAGAGCTGGGGAGTTTAGAGATGGTATGCTGGCTTTACTTAAAGAGTCAGAGGCCAAGTGAAGCACTCAGTTTCACCCTCAAGACTTTTCTCCTCATGTTTGTACAAATGTGTTCAAATGTATAACAATATTTAGAAAGCATAATTGCAGTGCATGGACCACCTACAATGAAGCATACAGTAGCTGTATGTTAACTACAGTGTGTGTGTGTGTGTGTGTGTGTGTGTGTGTGTGTGTGTGTGTGTGTGAGAGAGAGACAATTTGCTGTTTAATTGGGGTTTAGGGGAGTTACAGAATGTGCCAGACTATTTCCTGGAGCAGTAACTTCCTGGCATCCACCAAGAAATAACCTAGGACATAACCCTGTGTATAAATAGCAAAATGTTGTTTACACTTTGGTTTTTGTACAAATTAAACAGACAAGATATAGCATGTTAATGTTGTGTTTATACTCCATATATTGTTATGTTATAGGGTGTCCAGATGTCCCCGTTTTCCGGGGACAGTCCCCGGTTTTGGTGGCCTGTCCCCGTCTGGAGCTGTGTTTTTTACTGTGTGTTAATCATACTACATAGACTGCATAAGGTGTTAACAGACCTGAAATCATTTTCACGCCGGAAAGACTGGACAGCATACTGGTGTTGTGCCAAAAAGTTGCTGTGTCGCCCAGTCTCTTTATGACTACAGCTGCATCTGGGTCAAACAGATGTAACGTGAAAATACACATTACTTTATGTCTGTGGTAATAGCAAAGGTATGTCTTTGTGATACTTTAACATTTCTTTTAACGGAATAATCACAATTGTGGCCAAATAGGTGTTTACAGTTTATAGCGTAACCAGGCGTGACATTTACGTGATTATAGGCAATAATAGAAGCCTGTTGTTGCCAATGGAATATGTGTTTGGTAGGCATATATGTCTAATATCCTTGTTTATATTTGGAAATCGAAATGTAGCCTATAATTAACATGACTTACTGCTGAGTTACATAGCCCATAAAATAAAGACATGATCTCTTTTGCAAATCCTTATGACTACATCATTTAACTTGCGGTGTACCAACCAGTCCAGTCCCTTTTTACCTTTTAAAGAACCTTTAAATGGCAAATACAATGTAATGCAGTATTCTACTTGCCAGAAAGTGACTGTAACTTCTATTGACTGAAAAGTTATTTCTGCCCTGAAATGACTTGATTATATTCATGAGGATTATATTTGACAGATTATAACTCACGTAGTAGTTTTTACCTCTTAAAATACCTTTAAATGGCCAAACACACGCATTAAATGCAGTATTCTACTTGCCAGAAAGTGATTACTGCCTCTACTTATTGACTGAAAGGTAGTTTCTGCCTCAAAATGACTTGATTTCATTCGACAGATTATCGCCCCCCTTTTTATTTCATATATAATAACATTATATTTTTTAATGACATACTGACCACCAAACCAAAAATGTCTCCGTTTTCATTTCAGAAATCTGGTCACCTTATTATGTTATCATATAAAATTATTATTAAATAGAGAGAAATATGACATTTATGCGCTTTAGAGGGGCTTGTTGGCAGATTGTTTTACCTTTGGACAGAGCCAGGCTAGCTGTTTCCTGATATTTCCATTCTTTGCTAAGCTAAGCTAACTCACTGCTGGCTGTAGTTTCATATTTAATGGACAGACATGAGAGCGGTATTGATCTTCTCCTCTTACTATTTGCTAAAATAGTGTGTTCATCAGTAACTGCTGGCATAAACCTAATTCATTTTGGGAAAAGCATGTAAATTACACAAAACACTGCAGCCATGACATGTGTCTAACAATTGGAAATGCCTGAGAAGAGTGGCCAGTTAATAATTCATTGAAAATATTCACAATCAAACTTACTACTACAAACCTACTCTTACTATAATTTACTTTACAGCTACATTTGTTTAGCTGTCATCATCAGCCTCCACCACTTCTGGGGGTTTTCTAACCCAGGACAGTGCATCCTTCAGTTGCCATGGGCAACAAGACCAAATAAATCTCATGCTCTTGAAAAAACACACCCCTCTGCCTAATCTTTATAAAACCAATTGTTGTTCAGCTCATCAAGGGTAAGATTCACCCGTGGATTGCTTTTGTTTTCCATCTTATTCAAAAACCAGTCTCTTGATTTGAACGCAGGCATTTCCTGTCCAGCTATTGAAACACACAAAGGGACTTCAGGACTCGCTGGATGGGCCGG